GGGGAGGGGAGGGGAGGGGACCTTAGAAAACCTCAAGATATGGGAAATACCTTTTAAGCTCTTTGGAGGCCAAGAAACTAGAGAAGGGTCCTTGAGAGGGGATGGGAACGGTTACAGAACACAGTAACCCTGGAAAGGAGGAATCCCGGAGGTGGAAGGATAGAAGGGGATGGGTCAATGAGATGGACGTTCAAGTCAAACTAGGGATGTATGAAAATGCCTTAAGAAATCTGCTACTTTGTAAACTGACTTTTAAATAAAATAGAATTGGACCTGGTGACCTATACCTATAATCTCATTTTGTGGGCTGTGGAAGCAGGAGGATCTTAAGGTCATCCTTAGCTATACAGCAAATGCTAAGGATGGCTAAGGCACTGTCTCAAGAAAATGAAAGAAGAAAAGAAAAAAATTAGAATATTTTTAAGGAAAAAAATTAGAAAAGAACAAAAGATGAGAAAGAAAAAGTAGCCTGGGCGGACTCCTGAGCTCAGTACCGCCCCTGAGGGGAGGACCGGTTACTCAGGGCCCCGCCCCGCCCAGCGGCTCCTTCTGCCCTTGCGCAGGCGCAGTGGTACAGCGCTTCCGCCCTAGTGCGCATGCTCCGCGGGGCCACGGTTCTCCGACCGGCTGGGGTAGTGTCAGCTCCAGTGAAGGAAGTTTCCGCTTTGCACCCCACCCCGGACCACAGTTCTCTTGTAGGACCGGCTTCCCTCCGGCTCCACATCAGCGCATCCGGATCATGGGGTTACCCAAGGGGCCGGAGGGCCAGGGGCTCCCCGAGGTGAGGACCTCTGTCCCTGACACCCTGGGGTTGCTGGAGAGAGAGGGCCGAGCCCGGGGCGGCGGGCAGGGACCGGCTTGGGAGGCGGCGGGGACACTGTGTGGGTTGCTCAGACGTGTCTGCCCCAAGGTGGGCCCTGGGTACCCTGGAGGGACAGCTGACTGGTCCCCCGGCGTGCAAGGGCGCAGCGTGTTGCTGGGTGCAAACTTAAAGGTCCCTGGGTCGTCTGGGTTCAGGGGGAACAGCCAGATCCCTGCCCAGATGCAACCTCGCACATCACGAGGTCCCCGGGAGTCCCTGTCTCGGGCTGTCTGGAAGCCCCTCACGTTGCGAGCCAGACTGGCTCCCCGAGGCCAAGACTGCTGCGCTCAGGAGTCTCAGCAGTCACGAGACGTTCAGTGGGACTGTCCTGGCCCCGGCTGTGCGGAGGGCGGTGACCTTGGGACACAAGTCTCCTCCTGCTGGGGTCCAGGTGGCCAGCCTCTCATTCCCTTTTGTCGAGAAGGAATGCCACCTTCCCAGCTTGTAGACCCCCGCGCCCCGGGAGGATGGAGGAAGTTTGGGAGCCGTGCGCACGTCGGGGTGGTGGCAGAGTTGAGGACCCCCTCTCCTGTGGTGCCCTGTGCCTGGACAGGAAGACTGAGGCTTGTACTAAAGAGGGACAACCTCTCTATGTGTGGCGTGGTTGTAGTCAAGCACTCAGTACTCCTTCCATCCTAGGGACAGGATTTCCACGCTTGCTCGGAATGAAAGCTCAACTTTCCTCTTGGGGCCACCGTTAGAGCTTGGCTACCGGATTTCCAGTTGCTTTACTCAAAGCCCAGAGCTCAGTGAAGAGTCCCAGTTTCCAGAGAGAAATAGGGAACACCCCTGCTGCACCCGGACCCCTTTCTAAGGTTGGGTTTGGCAGAAATGTGCCTGGTTCTCTGACACTGTGCCTAGTACCCATGCTATTCGTCTGCACCGATCTTGCCTCCCTGTGCCCCTCAGAAATCCTTCTGTTTCAATTCATCCTACTCATTACAGAGTCACTGTGTTCTGTGCTCAGGTGAGGATATAGTAGTGGAAGGGCTGACGTGATCATCAGTTGTCACAAACCCTGGGTTAGGTAAAATTTCATGTTGTGTGTTGTTCTGATTTTAACGGGGGATTGTGAAAAGTGGGATCTGCACTGTAATATTTCAAGTTTTCTTGCTCTCTCTCTCTCTCTCTCTCTCTCTCTCTCTCTCTCTCTCTCTCTCTCTCT